AATCCCTGTCCTTTTATTTTGAGCTTAATCCCAGTCCTTTCAATTTGAAGTTAATCTCAGTTTTTTCGATCTGAGTTTAATTTCAGTCTTTTTATTCTGATGTTAATTTCATTCTTTTTATTCTGATGTTAATATCATTTTTTTTATTCATATGTTAATCTCAGTTTTTGTTTTGAGGTTAATTTCAGTCCTTTCATTCTGAGGTTAATCTCATTCCTTTTATCCGGAGATTAACCTCATTTCCATTTTGAAGTTAATCCCAGTCCTTGTATTCTGAGGTTAATCCCAGTCCTTTCATTCTGATGTTAATCTTAGTCTTTTTATTCTTAGGTTATAAATTTTACAGATATCTAACAAGATCATACCATTTCACCACCTCTCGGATATGACATCATTCCACAATAAATGAGCTACTGAAGCTTATTCCTTGATTCTGTGCATCTTCAAAGTGTTTTATCTATTCCATCATCAATTTACGAGCCACTGATTGTACTGGGATGTTGGTAAATAAAGACATTTCAGTCCAAATTGTAAATAAATAAGTTACGACCAGCATTTATTCATTTCCTTTATCTGTTAAAGGAACGAGTCTGGCAACACCCCTAACAACTTGTTACATTGAAAAACCGATTACCACTTTCTTGTAGATACAGTACATTATCTACAGTCTACATTATTCATCATTTCTACAGCAACACGGTTAAAAAACCACCCCCATAACTTAGTTATGATGGGCAACAATCTTTGGTGTCCTTCAATTCTTGAATCACAGATCATATAAGCAGTAAAGTTCTTCCTTTTGTACCTCTGATAGCTCATAAAACTGACTAAAGTTATGAGCTTACGTGTTATATTCATTTCAGTCTGTGGGTCTATGTTCTGCCTGCCCCATGGCAATTAGCTCCTATTGTAGATCAGAATCTTTTAACTACCCTTTCTTAAGCTGTTTTAATCAATTTTGGTAACCAAGTGTTTATGACATTCTCCTGGCTACTAGCTTTATTTATTTCTGGGCAAATTTCACTTTACTACAGCTTTCAATTCTGTATTGAAAACTTCTACACATGACAAAGGTTTTGTTATCTATTGAGAAAGTGTATCTTGTCCAGACGATGTTTATAATACAAGCAATTATTAACGTGCAATCATCTTGTATTAACGTACAAGATTAACGTGCAATCATCCTTTTTGGTTCTTTGAAGATCCTCAACTACAACATGAAATACGATCAGTTGTTGGAAACTTAGATCGCATTGAAATATAGAACATGGCTTGTTCTGTGTTTTCTTAATGCAGTCAAAGAATATGTACAGTTTGGCCTCAAACTGAAATATTCGTTGTGAGCGTGTGATTTCTCACTGAGAGAAAAATACGTGTAGTTGTAGTAGAATCTACACCACACCAAGAGTGGACCCATTGTTTTCACTGTGCAGTTAAAGTAGGTAAGATGTTCGTAGATTGTGTGTGATACATTTTTCACTTGTTCGAAATGAAATTCGTTTATAAATGTGACTTTTTAAATCGAGCTATGGCAGATACTACTAAATTTTTAATTTCACTATTTATCTCTGCACATTGTAGTTGCAATTCACGAAATTTGTGTCATTTGTATTCAATTGTAGTTCATAACATGATTTTTGGGTAGGCTAAACGAATATTAAAATGGATTTATTAATTCAGATTATGTTTAACTTGCATTCGAAGGAGGTTGTATTCGTGAACATACAGGTTAGATAACCTTCAAGATCGGAACCTTGGTCACTACTTGTAAAATAGTTGCCCTAATTTCGGTTACCGGTGTAAGGTATGAGGTTCTATTTAACCCCTCCCCCTACCCAAATGGACGCGGGTTCTGTCTCCATGACAACCAGACAATAACTAAATAACTGACGTGTATGATCTCCTGATCAGTGAGTGTGTTCCGGGGGGGGGGGCATATCGCGACTTGAACCTTGGACCTTTTAATGCGCAGCATGTCACCTTAACAACTAGGTCATGTCCGACCCTGTATTTTTAATATAATAATACGAATACATAGTTTGAATGCATTTATAATAATTATGAATAATTTC